AGTAACGAAACAGCTGTAGTGATAAGAGGTAAAATAAATTTTTGTGGAAGTTTGAAACAAAGTTTTCAGTGTTTTATTGTTACATAAAATGAATTTTCATCAAGTAACGGTCGAATCCATCAATTAAATTGATGCCCTTTTTTTCCAATCTATTGTTTTACAAGCGTTTTCTAGCAAAGTTGTAAGTAATTTAGGAGACATGTTGTCTCCTTGCCGAATGCCTCTTTTAATACGAAAGGTTCCAGTATCTTCATTAAGTCTTACACGGCTGTAGTATGCTAATAGATGTATGTGATGAGGGATATGTATCGGTGATCTATTCTAGATTGTGTTAGAGCTTGGACCATTTCACTTTGATTGACCGTATCAAATGCTTTTTCAAAGTCGACAAAGACAAGTATCAGGGGTCTATATTCAATGGTTTTTTTCAATCAATGACTTAATGTTTTGCAAATGATCATTTGTTCTGTATCCAGCTCTAAATCCTGCTTGCTCGCAAGGTTAATAGTAGTCTAGTTTCGATGAACAAAATTTCTGCAATAAACTGCATCCAAAACCGTCTTCTTAAATGCATTTTCCGTGACGTGTGATAATTTGTAATGTTAAACATTAAATTCTGCGTTTTTTATTTATATTTCAAATGCCTCACTCATATTTACTACCAAAACTTAAAATTAAAATTTCATCTACTAGGTTTTAGATTAGTTTAATAAACATTAATCTCTAAAAATTAAAATTTTATTACAACTTGTCAATTAAAGTGATCAATTTTATTGATATCACGAGAATCATAAAAAATTGCAAAAATCGCGCCACGGTTATTTATTTAACACCTGTATAAAATCTGAGTTTATTTGCGGCAAAATACAAAAACTGCATATGAAAGCTGAACTCTTTATCTTTAAAATGCATTTTGATTTTTGTCGATAGGTTAATTGAATCAAAAGTTATCGAATTTTTACCGTCGTGCTGCTACAAATTGATTTCGCGCGCGTAACTGACATACAAAATCGACGGTCGCTTCAAGCGTTGTTTCTAAGAGAATGGTCAGAGAAAGAATTCTATATCAAAAATGCCTATGAACATTTTTTTTTAATTATTTCAGCTATATTTTTTATTTAAAACATTTTTTCTACGGTGTACAGATTCTTGGTAAATCGATTTTTTTGTGTTTTTACCCCACTACGGTTTTAGGGGTTTTAGCTTTTTTGTATGATTTTTAGGCGTCAACTCTCTGACGACTGGACTATATTTAAATTTTACGTTTAAAGTAAGTATTTTATTAAAAAACCTATTAAATACCTTTTTTGTTGGAATAACTCAAATTATTAAAAAAAGTAATTTTGAACCAAAAAACATTTTTTTATAATTTGTTTAAAAATTGGTATATAAATGAATCATAATAAATAAATAATAGGTTACTATAAAAAACGTTTATTAAAGAAGTATATAATATTTATAAATATTTATATTTTACAATAAAAATTACCTCTAATATTACTAAAAAACTGAAAAAAATTTTAAATAAATTAGATGGTTTATTTAACAATTTAATTATTTAAATAATATATATTCGTAATGTATGAAGTGATCATATAATTAAAAAAAAAACGTAGAAATTCATAAATAATAACCAGAGATACAGTTAACTGCTCCTTCCGCCTCCACTGCTTTAAATTAGAAGTTATTCTAATTGTTTATAAATGAAAAATTGGCATGTTTGCAATTATCTTGCATTATATAGAATTGTTTTTTTTTTTTATTTTTTTTAATGATATTAATAAAATAAATCTTTTTCTTCTAGAATCTGTCCGTATAATTACTAAAACTATATACGCTGACCGACAAAAAAAGTGGCCACCCTATAAATTTCCGAAAATAAAAATTCATTGAAAGTTTTATACACTGTTTCATATTGTATTCTTAACATCTTTCATTTTGAAAACAAAAATGACCATAACTGTTCGATTTCTTAGCATAATTGATTTAATTAGAACGCTACAAAAGAAAATAGTGTGATATGGAAACGAATTACAAACAATAAAAATTTGGCGTGAACTTAAACAAAATTGTCTAATGTCGGGAATTATGCCTTAAAACATCAATAACCGTTTGCATACGATTTGAAAGGAAAAGGAAAAATTTTTGAATAAAAACTTAAGGAGTACTTTCATATTCCTCACGAAGCATATTTTGAAGGTATGCAAGACTTACTGGCTGGCCTGGTTGACTTATAACCCTACGATGAAGTTTATCCCAAAGATGTTCGATGATATTCAGATCGGGACTGCAGGCTGGCCATTCTAGAGTTTTAATTCCAACGTTCCCCAAGTAATATCTCAGGATTCTTGCAGTGTGCGGCCGTGCATTATCATGAATAAAGACGAAATTTTCCCTAATAAAAGAACCAAATGACAAACCAAAACCAAACTATGACACCACCACTTTGGAGATTAATTTCTTAATCTCCAAATCTCTCTCGACCATTGCCAGACTTAAAACAGAACCACGATTCATCAGTAAAGATTATTTAGGTCCAATCCTTAATATCCCAGTGTTGATGTTGTCGAAAAATTAATCGATTCCTAGAGTGTCTGGGTTGAAATTCGGGAACAATAGCCTGCCTTCTTGCCACTAGCCCTCTTTCATTGAGACGACTTCTAACTGTTCTCTCACTTACATTCCAATTTCGAAACTATGGCGATTTCTTAAAAGTTCCATCACAATAAAACGATCATCTCTTTGCGAGGTAACTCTTCTACGACCGGAACTATAAACGTCGAAACTGTCAAAAATAAGCATACAAGATCGCAAAAAATATTTAATTTGAGATGCAATAAGAAAAAGTGCATAAAACTTCCAATGAATTTTTATTTTCGGAAATTTATACGGTAGCCACTTTTTTTGCCGCTCAGTGTATATTTTTTTGGCTTATATTGTTGTAAAAAAAATTAATTTGGTATAAAGTTTTGGAATAAACAAATTAAATAACTTTTAAACGATTTAGTATATCGGTTTGTAATTTTGATTATATTTTAGCACTACAAAAATTAATTTGGGATCAAGTTTTGGAATAAACAAATTAAATAACTTTTAAACGATTTAACATATCGGTTTATAATTTTAATCATATTTTAGCCCTACAAAATTTTTGATTTATTGTGCAATTTTCTAAGCAAAAATAAAGCTAGAAACATTTTTTTTTTATTTCGACGTTAACGTGCTCGGCTACTATGGCCACTTACACAGGTACTATAACATGAGTTTTCATTACACAAACAATAAGTGTTACATTAAGAATATGTTACAATAAAACGGAATGATAATAATATGTTACACAATGTCTAAATTAAAATCTAATTATATTTTTTGATATAAGTGTTCATCCCTAAGGAAATGTAGCACAGCTTTTATTTGGTCAGGGTCGTTTAGGATATCACGTATCTTCTGGCCGAATTTTGATGGCATTCAGTGAGGATATGTTTAATTGTTAAATATGATTGGCAGCTTTGACAGGAGGGACGGATGCTAGAGGACATTAGGTAGCCGTGTGTGAGTTTTGAATGTCCTATCCGTAGTCGTCTTATCACAATGAGATCTCGTCTTGACAGGGCTGAATAGTCAAATGTAGGCTGACTGATTATTGACGGTTGTATTTCGTGTAAGATCGAACGGTTAAGGTCGATTCAGACACATCAGTCACGTCTCGTCACCATCTCGTCACAGTGATTGCGCCGAATCGAACAATCCGTCATACAAAATATTCTTTAATACAAATATGGCGCCGGCATTCACACTCATCAGTTGACGAACAGTTTGCCAGCTGTCAGATAGTTGATAGTTCTGTGACCAAACAGGACCGGTTCGGTACCGTGACTGTGACGTGACTGATGTGTCTGAATCGACCTTTAGAGTTCTAATGCTGCTGCCAAAGGAGTCTGGTTCTTCTTTTAGTATATGATTTTAGGTCCTTACAAATTTGAATTTTATCGGTGATTTCAAGTGATGCTGTAGCAAGTTTAGCATAGTGATCTGCAGTTTCATTGCCTTCTATACCAATGTGAGATGGCAGCCAAATTATGGTAACTGTTATGTTTTAGGACAAGATAATTTGGTAAGAGTCTAGGATCTTTTGGACGATTGGATGATCGGTAAATATATTTTTGATAGAAATAATTGATGCTAAAGAGTCTGTGCATATGGCAACCTGCTTATTAGGTGGATATATATGGTTAAAAGCTGTGCAATATACTAAATAATTCACCAGTATGAACGCTGCTGACAAATGGTATAAATGATGACTTAATTAGTGAATGAGAGGTTGTAACAGAGCAGCCTACTTCTGTGTCATTTTTTGAGGCATCCGTGTATAATATTAGGTCGTAACTATTTGTATTTATAATGTCTTTAAATGCATTTATAATGATCTCTTTCGGATGTTTATTTTTATCGAAGTTGGTGAGCGAGGTGTTAAATTTGGGCGTGGAGATGATCCAAGGAGGAGATATAGGGGATAAAGAGGAAGGGTATGTGTAAGAGACATACCATTAAGTGTCTGTGCTAACTAGAAACATTTAAAAAACACTATTTTGAAGATTATTATAAGACTTTTAATTTTCTTACTCTTAAATTTGTTTCAAATGCTTCACTTTTTGTTGATGATAAAAGCAAAAAATGTGACGTTTTTTGACATTAATTTGTTAATAACTAATTAAGTCCAAAAATCAAGTACAGAAACATATAGGCTTTCGTTACAGAGGTCCACACTACAGACAACAACTGTCTGTAGTGTCTCAGACTGACTGTCCGGTTCAGTGTCACAAACAGGGTAGTTTTTTTGGTTATTTCTCTAAAAATGTAAAACCCGCTAATAACCATTAATGGTTGACGCGGCAACTCTTGATGTGGCAAAGAATTAATTGTTTCCTATGCTCAAATAGAATTTGAACAGTATGTATCTTTAAGTCTGTAAAATATATAATCATATATTATTTTCTTAGGTTACAGAAACAGGCGATGATGTTACCTTGGACGATATATCTTCTGACAAGTCTTCTCGTCCCACCATGTTTGCCAACTCCACATCGAGGACGTCATCATCCCTCGGAACCACACGCCGAAGCCTATCACATATCACGTGACCCCTTCGATCCTCACAGGGACTCGGAGGAGTTTAGAAGAGATGCCACTGACGATAAGCGGGAGTTCACAAGAAGAGACTCTACCGAGGAAGATCCTCTAATTGTTACAACTAAAAAGGGCAAAGTAAGGGGTATGACAGTAACGGCTGCAACCGGTAAAAAGGTAGGTGAAATAAACTACGATATGTACAATATTATATTATGTATAAAACCCAAGACATTTATATATAATACAATAAAGTTCTTAACATTTAGTAATATTTCGGGTGTACTGTGCGCTGGTTTGTTAAATTAGTGTTTTAATATTTATCTAGGATTTGCTACTGTTACCTAATCACGCAGTTGGATCCACCTAATAGATTTTCCTTTACAACATGTTTATGTGGTGCTGTGTTTATTTTTATACAATATGACGTATTTTATAGGATATTTTTTTCAGGCAATCAAACTTTACTTACTTTACTTTACACCGTGGCGTTACAACCCTTCGTGAGTTTTAGCCGACTCCACAACATGCTTTCTGTCTTGAGCAACCTCCATTGAATTCTCCACGCCCATAGTGCTTAGGTCTCCTGCTATATTATCTCGCCACCGGAGATGAGGGCGTCCGCGTGGTCTCCTTCCAGTTGGGACTTCCTCCCACACCAGTCTTACTGTTTGTTCGTCAGAATGTCTTCTGAGGTGTCCCGCCCATTGGGGTCTTCTGGCCTTTATTTCTTTTATGACGTTGGCGTCTAGATAAAGTTCTTCGAGCTCTTTGTTAGTTCTTATCCTATATTGTCCTGATGCTTCATCCAGCACAGGACCAAAGATCTTTCTTAGGATTTTTCTTTTACCAAACACATAGACTCTCTTCGTTTGGCTTTGTAATCGTCCACGTTTCGCTTCCATGCATCACAACGGTCGTATGATTGTTTTGTAGATCTGTATCTTTGTAAGTCTTGTTAGTTGTTTCGATTTTATAAGGTTTTGGAGGGCAAAAGACATCTGTTGCCGGCCTGAATCCTGTTGTTTATTTCTGGTGATCCGTTATTGTCTTCAGTTATTGTTGTTCTAAGATACTTGAATTCTCTAACGCGCTCAAAGTTAAAGTTGTCGACTTTGGTTATTGCGGCTCATATACATATATTTCGTCTTGTTTTCGTTGATTTGGAGCCCCCTCTTCTCTGCCTTCTTCTCAAACCTCACGAAAGTCTCCTTTATCCTTAATCGTGTGTATCCTATTAGATCGATATCGTCTGCAAATGTTAGGTGTCTTATGAGGACCAGTTATTAAGAACCATTTCCCGTCTATGACGCTCGATGTGGACGTTTCGGTAAAAGGTGCTACCTCTATAACACAACCCTACACCCCTTTTTGTTATGCAGTACTACTATTTGAGGCAGAGAAGGTATATTATATTTGTTAGCACAATATTCTTGCTGCCTTATTTGATTGTTTCTACATTTAAAAGTAAAAAATTTGTGTAGCTGAAAAAGAAAGTCGATTACATTTGATTGTAATTGAAAATGAAGCGCCAGTATTTTAAAATGTTATCATTATTTTTTTAACCATAGATTATCCTAATTTGTAAAATATTAATTTTTTGATCACTTTTAAGCCATTTTCGAACGCTTATTAGTCAGTAACTAATGACCGATATTATTATAACTAACGATAATTCGCTACAGCTTGTATGTAAATTATCGATAATTAGTGGTTATTGAACCTATTTATTTAAAAGCTGGGAATTAAATTTGTACTATGCTGATTAATGGCCTAGCTATGTCCACGCTACATCCACTGTATCGATAAAATCGTCAACGTCCAATCACAAAACGATTTGACAGCCATAATCTGAATAATCCGGTTATTTGCAACTGAAAAATAATACCTGCTAACTGGTTCGTTTTTAATTGGATTATATATTGAAATGATATTTATCTCTAATGAGAAATTGATTAAAATTTAAAAGAAGCACATTATTATGCTTATTATTATTTATATATCATTATTTAGAAGTATTAGAAGTAATTTTAGAAGTTTACTAGGATCAGAGTAAAAAGCTTAACCAAAATTATTCTTCTCAAAATGCCCTCTTATTAGTGTAAATTGGCTACTACAATTGTAAAGCACCCTCTTTCTTCAGCTGTTTAAAACTTAGCTCTGTCCATTGTTCGCATGTTTCTAAGCCGCCATAGTGTTTTCGTTCCTAGTACCCTCTTTCCCTCGATATTTTCTTTCACTATAAGTTGAGCATATTGATACTTACTATTTCTCAATATTTTTACATTTAATACTACAATACACATATAACAATATAATAGACACAATAATAGAAATATATACGTCATACCTAATAAATAAAGACATCAGTCTGCGCTTGCTTAAGCGGGACAACCGAGGCAGCTCATGAAATGGACTGTGTCCATGAATGATTATAATATGGTTACAAACCTCTGTCAAGAAACGATCGGCTATCGACAAAATCGGTATGCCGAATTTAGCAGGGAATATCCAGAAATCCAAATATCTGAACAACGAGTAACAGATCAATAACGGGTAATTAACAGAAATAATCTTATCCCAGAGACTAGACGCAATACCATCGGAAGCGAAGTCGAACATGAGATTTATAATGAAAAGATAGTTGGAATTTAAGTCCACCATGAAATACATGAGCAGGTTGTCATACAAGAAACTCCACCTGATAATACCCATCAGGACAACAACGAGCTGCGCGATAGCCTGATAAACGAAATGGCACGAAACATACACAAGTTTAATTGAACAAACTAACTCAGCAGACCACCGCTACCAAGAGATCTCGCTAACCGGTCCCTCTCTCGGTCACCGCTCCTACCCAATTATGTCATGGAAGACCACACATTAAATATATGCATACGCTGATTTACTGTGCAGCAACACCAATCGCCAATATGATGGGCATTAGGATTAGAACACTATGGGTTACTACTATAGAAGGGACAGATAGTAGAGTTGAACCTTGACAAAAACTGCTGCAAAATTTAATCAAAGCGTAGGGACATTAATCAAGTCACAAAATATGTTGGAGGAACAAGTAGAAAAATAATCAGAAGAGCTGAAGAAATAATGCTAACCAACACAAGACAACTACAATATGACCCAAAAAACAACACAGCACAACAGTGCCTGGATAGATTAAAATAAAATCTCTCCATTTATTCGACCGACTAAGGAGATACAAAAATTAGTAACAAACGAAAATTTGACAATGTGCTTTTTGAGAATGCCAAAAAGGCGATCTATCGAAAACTCAATTCTACTGTAGAAAATGTCAATAAATCGTACCTAAGCTAGCGAAAAGGCAAGGTGGATGAAGGAGCTTATTTCCGATGTAAGGCCTTGGTGGGAATGTAAGTTCATGAAATTAGACTACTTTCAGGATGCAGGTTTTGATGCCGTACATAGTAGTTTTGGCACCTTCACAAATAGAATGGACTAATCTGTCTCGGCAGACTGTACTGTTTGTGAAGTACTAGATGTTCCCGCTCTCATTTTTAACTGCCAGAGATGGACAAATGAGAGGGGAGATTTCGAGAGGCAAATAGGTTCTGAGATGGATGAAAGAAACATGGTAAATATAATATTGAGAGGAGAGAAAGAATGGAGAGAAGTACACTGTCTGATTTCTAGGGATTTTTTATTTTAGTTGTTTATTGAGTGGCAAGACCACCTCCCTGGAACGGTGGTTAAGGATTTAGCCGGAACACAGTTTTTCAGGCATTACCCTGGGGTCTTCTGGCCTAGTATCCTACTCAGCCAAAAGATGCCAGGGTGTCTTGCTACGTGACGAAATCCATGACGTTTAGAAAAACCAACCAGCTGCCTTTGCACACCAGCTGCCTTCAACGCCAATGCTAGATGAATCGAAAATATGCCGCACAAATGTCAACATTACATTACTACTCCCTACGAACCCTTTACTACTGAAGAAGTTTTTTCAATTATTATCAAAGAGCTTTATAACTATAAACCTCCTGGACCTAACGGACTTCAAAACTTCTGGCTTAAGAAGTTCTGGAGTATTTATAAGTGCTTATCAGCATTAATTATTCGTACTGTTTCTAATCCGCAGAAAATACCATCTTTACTAACCCACGGAACAACTTATTTAATACCAAAGGATCAACACCCAAGTTCCAACCAAGTATTGCCCAATTACGTGTCTACTAACTTTGTATAAATTAGTCACACCATGTATAGCCCAGAGTATCTACCAACACTGTGCTCTAAACAATATTACAAAGCCTCAACAGAAAGGATGCGCTAAGAGTTCCAAGGGCTGTAAAGAACAACTTATCATCGACTCTGTTGTCGATATCAATGTTGAATTTTCTGTTGTCTTAATAGTTTTTAAGAGGCGAATCTCACAAGTTGAGGTTAATATTTGACAGTTCTTCTTGTAGTAAAATTGTAAATGTGGTCATCGTTTTATTAAGTAAACTGAACTTGTAACGATATAATTTGCCTACCACATTTGGATATCACTTATAGGGGGTTAAAAGTGGGGACAGCAATTACTGGACTTGAGATAGGGTAAGCAAATAAACCGAAACGTTTGCGAACGCCCAATCTTGTTTTCGTTTGAGGGCTGGGTGGTAAGTAGGTAAATCAAGGAGGGACTGTAAAGGGTAATTACAGAGAAAGAAAGAAAAATTTACATAGATTTCCTGGGCAACACACATAAAAAGGTTCCTAAATGATTTGAAATGGACACCGTTTATTTTTTAGATAGGATTTTATTCATCCAGTGCTAGATGAATAAAATCCTATCTAAAAATATTAAAGGGTGATAAAGGAAATACTAATTCTACAACTCATGATTTAGAGAGAAACAGTACATATTATTACTTCACATCAACAGTTATTACAAATAATATTAACACAATTTACCAACAAAACTTACAATGGCGGTATTTGTAACGATTTACAACAAGCTCCAGACGTTGAGGACACTTATAGGAATTTAAATTATTATTAAAATAAAAATATCTAGATTTTTCAACGGAGCTTACATTGAGGTTAACCTTTAAACAAAACAATTCAATTTTATGGTCATGTACGAATTAAAAAAAAGGATAATACTGACTGTCATGTATGTCGAAATAAAATATTAAACCCTCTTGAAATGTTAGGAAAATTTTATAGAAGTTACATAAAACTTACTAATTTTACTTACTTATAATTCTTGTTAGTTTGTCATGAAAGCAAAATTTTTAATTAATGAAAAATTTTAACAAAAAGTACCTTATATCACTCTGGCTAATGTATTTCATTTAAAAAAGTTTTTGAGATCGGAATTGAACCAAAATACTGCATACGGCAAACAACTGTGTCCCACACAAATTATGGAACGTAACAATGGACAATTGGACTGTGAAAATGGACAAGTTGAAACTGATTCGGGCTTTGGATTATCCTGGATGACAACAAACTGCAATCCTCAAAATTCGCCAACTCAATTTTTTTTAAAACCATGTAAACCTCTCAAATGGTTGGAAACGCCGCCTTGCAAATCTCTGAGATAAAGCACAGCTCAAACAATCGGTAATTAGCTAAACAAAAAGTACCAGATCGCATTTTGAGCACAAATTCATCTCTAAACTTTGCCGGTTTGAAAACTACACCCGAAAGTTATATTTTCCAAATCAACATCTCAACTTCTAACTGTTTTTTCACTGCTAACTAACTAATTTTCGACAACAAAAAACGAATAACGAAAAATTATTACGAATTTGAAGAAAATCCGGACTAAACAACGAAACCAACTGCCCTGCTAGTCGTAGTAAAAGTCGTTGGCCTACTTAAATATTAAGCGGAATCAACATCAAAAAAATACTAAACAAATACCAATCTGTGTTAATATAAACAAAACTAAAACTGCTTATATTATTAATCTCAGGGACGCAGAAAGATTAAAAATATTTTTCGGTGTTTTAACATGTACTAAAGGAAATAGAAATGCTACAAACTATTTTGTTGTAAGAAACAGAAAACTTTAAATAGACATTACTATCAGTTAATTTACAATTTTAAAAAAACCTTTACAGTGATGAGTTATTGTACAATAAAAGTACAATCATTTAATTAAAACCTAAATAAACAAAATCTACTAATGTAAATATTTTGACAAGTATGTGGCAATAAAATATTAAGAAAAGGAAAATTATGAATACAATAGTGAAAACATGTCAGTTCATTCCAACTAGTTGTAGTGGTTCATTTAAATTTTATATAAATTTAAAAATTTTTATTTAAAGTTACGATAGGGTTTTATTGGCACTTAAAACAGATATTGCAGTACTTTGTTCCAGCTTTAATATTTATCGTTGGAATTTTTTATTTCCTTGACTCTTGACTATTTTGATTTTAATTGCGTCCATACATCCAGAAGATATTTAAACAGACAGGAATATTATTGGTTTATTTTCTTTGTAATCTTCATTTTTTTACGCTTACCCCTTAAACATATAATTTTAATAGACTTTTTAAATTTTTATATACCATCTACCAATAATACTTATTTTTTTTAGGTGGATGCATGGTTAGGAATTCCCTATGCCCAGAAGCCAATTGGAAATTTAAGATTTCGTCACCCACGCCCAATAGAGAAATGGGAGGGTGTTCTAAATACTACCGAACAACCCAACTCATGTGTACAAATCATAGATACCGTATTTGGTAATTTTGCGGGTTCTAATATGTGGAATCCAAATACACCTTTAAATGAGGACTGTCTGTATATAAATGTAGTGGTGCCGAAACCGCGACCTACGAATGCTGCTGTAATGGTTTGGATATTTGGTGGGGGATTTTACTCGGGTACAAATACTTTAGAAGTCTACGACCATAATATTATAGTCTCAGAAGAAAATATTATATTATGTTCTATGCAATACCGCGTCGCTTCCTTAGGGTTCCTATATTTCGGTACTTCCGATGTTCCGGGCAATGCCGGTATGTTTGACCAAATGATGGCACTACAATGGATAAAGGATAATATTGCTTCGTTTGGTGGAAATCCTAACAATATTACTTTATTTGGTGAATCTGCAGGAGCTGTATCAGTATCCCTTCACCTTCTTTCGCCATTATCTAGAAATTTATTTTCGCAAGCTATAATGCAGAGTGGTAGTCCTACTGCTCCTTGGTCGATAATCTCAAGAGAAGAAAGTATTCTTAGAGGTCTCAGATTAGCAGAAGCTGTCAGTTGTCCTCACGATAGAAATGATTTAAGCTCAGTTATTGACTGCCTTAAGAAGAAAGACCCCATTGAACTTGTCAACAACGAATGGGGCACATTAGGGATATGTGAGTTTCCTTTTGTGCCTGTAATTGATGGAGCATTTTTAGATGAGCATCCAGTAAGAGCTCTAGCTAACAAAAATTTTAAGAAAACTAATATATTACTCGGTTCCAACACAGAAGAAGGAAACTATTTTATTATATACTACTTGACAGAATTGTTCCGTAATGAAGAAAATGTTTACGTGAACAGACAAGAATTTTTGCGTGCTGTTACCGAACTTAATCCTTACGTTAATGCGGTAGCAAGACAAGCCATTATTTTTGAGTACACTGATTGGTTGAATCCAGAAGACTCTGTAAGCAACCGAAATGCACTAGACAAGATGGTGGGAGATTATCAGTTTACTTGCAATGTTAATGAGCTAGCTCATCGATATGCAGAAACTGGTAATAATGTATATATGTATTATTACAAGCACAGAAGTGTATCCAATCCTTGGCCTTCTTGGACAGGTTAGTACTTTTGTAGAGATATAATCATATAACCTAATAATAAAATTCAGTACATACGGAAATTATTTTAACATTTAGTAATTTACTAAGACTTTATTAAATTTTCGGCTAAGAATATCAAAGGTATGGCAGCCTTTATTCATTTTTATCTATATTGTAAACAACTTTTTATTTTATAGTGAGATAAAATTTTGTTATTAACTGGAGGATAAAAAAAAAGAGTATTTCAATTATACTTTTATGCGATAACCTTTAGTTATCAAATAATATCTTGGTGGTAACGTGATAGTAATCATTTAACTGACTTAAAATATTGCTATCTAATTGAGATTAAAATTTAATTCACTAAAATTAAAATAATTATATTGAAAATATTTTATGCCTATTATTATTAACATGATAGACAGATGGTTTAAGAAGGACCCGACCTAAGAAAGAAACCACGAAAATTTTGGAAAAAATATATTTAATTTTTAACAAAATCTATAGTCCGTCTAGAAAGTATCCGGAAAAAGAAAGCAGAGTTATAATTTTACGGTATTTATTTCAATCATTTGAAATATAAAATTTCAACAAATAATTCATACCCATTTACTTATGTAACCTCCATTTAAATATAAACACTTAACTAAACCTCCTGGTACACCCGAAACTAGGTCAAGGCCATAATTTTCGATAATGGTGTTACAGGCCTGTAAAACTGACCGAATCAAACCTTCTTTATCTCGTGGCGCTGCTCGTCCCACTTAATTTTCATCAATACCCATATGTTTTCAATGGATCTGGAGTAGCTGCTTGCCACGGAATTGTTGCCAATTCGTGTTCTTGCATCCAAGCTTGAATATAACCAGAAGTATGACATATTGCATGATCTTGCTGAAAACGTCACCCCTCTAGATAGAAAACATGAGCCGTTTCGAAAAGAAAAACATTTAGGATGTCACAATATTTCGCACTAACAACAGTACCATAACTATACAGAAAGGTGTAGCACCACACTGATACATTGTTCCCCAAACCATTATTTCAGTGGGAAATTTGGAAATTTGAACGGTAACATTTTCTCTTGATAGGACTTTTAAATGATTTGCACCAAGCTGGAAACAACTTTCAGATATAAAGACTATAAGAATATTAAAATTATCTTTCCTAAAACGTTGACAAAAATCTATTCTTCGTTCGTTGCCTTTGCAGAGGTGTCATTGTGGTGATTTTTTTTTGGATTAAAGCCACTAAAGCATAAATTGTTTACGCGAATCTTACGTGGTTCATCTGAAATAGGTCTGTCTCATATCTATCCCATTTTTAATCCTTTTTATTGTCTCATACACTGCACTTTTTCCGAGTTCAGTCAACTGCACTAATTTTTTAACGTTTCAGATACCCTTTCTATACAAATATTCCACCACTTTTCTTTTTTCTACTTGCGACATTATTTCACAAATCTTAAGTCTGTTTACAAACAACAATATTTGACAGATGTGTTGTCATGCGATTTTGTCCATAACCTACTATCAGCACAACCTACTTGATGCATTACTTTTGTCTTAAAATGTTATAAAAAGGAAATCTATTAAAATTAGGAAAAATATAAAATTCCGGATACTTTCTAGACGGACTATATTTTCAACTCTATGTATATACTTTTCCCTCCATGTTCAATAATTATAATACACCTTTTTAAATAAAAACTGTCTTGCTCCGCAAAACAACCATTAACTGCTGACATCATTTAAACCACAGAGCCAGCCATTTTTTCAGGTTTTCAAACAGAAAATAGTCTGAGGGGACTGAATCTGGCGAATAGGGTGCATGAGGTAGCAATTGAAAGAATTTTGGCCATTGAAATAACTGCTCCGTGAGCTGATTTATTGTCTTGATGAGACAACACTTTTTTCTCAGCCAAATGCATCCGTGTTTGCTTGATTTCTTCACTCCATTGTTGCAATAAGTTCGCATAAGTCTCGCAGTTAGTTTTTTCTTTAAAGAGAGTCATTCATAAGGAAATGAGGCCCAAGATAGATAAGACTACTAAAACAAAATGACACCCAGAAATAAGTAAAAACAGAAATTAATAAAAATTTTGCAAAATTAGTTGAAGACACTACTAGAGGCAGAGAAAAATAGTGGAACAAAATGAAGACATCTATTACTACAATTTTGCATTAATATCTAAAATCAAAAAGAGAAAAGAAGCAAGAATGGATGACAGATAAAATATTGTAGATGATGTAAGAGCAAAGAAAATTAAAAAGTAGAAATAACACGAATACAAAAATGTACATAAGACTATACTAAAGGAGATGAAAGGAGCAAAAGAAGCATGGCTGACGGAAAAATGTATGGAAGTTGAAACACTACAACGCAAACATGACGATTTCCATATGCACAATAAAATTAAAGGACATAATACCAGAAAATATCGCAATGCAGGCATAGTTGTAGACCAAGGCCAAATTTTGACTACCATTGAAGATAAATTACAAAGATGGGAAGAATATATGCAAGAATTATTTGAAAATGTAGCACTAAGTTCGACTTAAATAGACAATTCCTACGGTCCAAAATAACAAACAAAGAGGTAACTATGGCCATTAAGCGGATTAAAAATGGGAAATCACCAAGACCTGATGAGGTGAATGGTGAAATTTTAAAGCTATTAAAATCACACCAAATCACAGCTCTTACGAAGCTATTCAACAACATCTACGACTGGTTATTTGCCAAAAGACTGGCTACTATCAATATTCATTCCACTTCTTAAAAAAGTCAACGCAAGAAAATATGAAGAACATATCTTAATTAGTTTGCCATGTACTTAAAGTACTTCTTCTATTATTCACTCGCGCATATACACCAAATTACACGAACACCTGACTGAAGTTCAATTTGGATTCAGAGCAGAACTCGAAACAAGAGAAGCACTCTTTAGTTTGCAAGTTCTAATACAGAGAACCAGGATGCCAACTGCGATGTGTATGCATGTTTCATTGATTTCGAGAAGGAAAAAGGATAAAGTCCCATATGAGAAACTAATCAATATCCTAAAAACATCAGGACTCGATGGTACGGATATAAGAATGATCTCAAACTTATATCTCCAACAAAAAGCAACAGTACGATTAGAAAATGAACTGTCCGAGATCTTCACAGTCGAAAAAGGATATTCTGAAAACATCTTTACAGAGGCTTTGGACGAATTAGTAGAAGGGATTGCTGTAAATGGCCAACTTATAAACAACAGTAGTTGTGGACGATACAGTGTTGCTGGCAGATAGTGCGCAGGGGCTCTAAAGGATGATAGATAACGTTGTAGAAGCATGTAACAAATACGGCCTAAAACTAAATTGCAAGAAGACAAAAATAATTATCATTACTAAGAACATCGGCAGAAACGCCCAAATTACAATTAACGATACGCCGTTAAAAAGAATGGAAAAAATATGCTATTTGGGCTGCAGTATTAAGAAAACTTGGGATCACAGCTACGAAATAAAAACTCGTATTTAAAAAGCCAGAAGCTCTTTCAATAGCCTTAGGAAAATTCTTTGCAACATCTTTAAGTATCAATATATGCATAAGACTTATTCTTAGATGTTACGTCTTTAGAGTCCTCCTCAATGAAGTAGAAAGCTGGAGCCTTACAGAAGATGCCATAAAACGATTGGAGGCACTTGAAATGTGTTTTCTAGCATAAAAAAACAAAATATTGGCTTACTTTAACCACATCATGGGTAATAATAAATACCGATTTCTACAGTTGATTCTACAGAGCAAGATTAAAGGAAAGGGAGGCCCTGAAAATAGATTGGCTAATCTTAGGAAATGGTCTGGTCTAACCTCTACTGATCTATTTCGTGCTGCTGTGAATAGAATAAGATGGATCAATGTGGTCGCCAACATCTCTAGAAGATAAGCACATTTACAACAAGAAGAAGATAGTCAATAAAAATTATTGCGAGCGCATCCCAAAAAGCCGATGGCACGATCTTGCCTGCTGATGAAACGGTCTTCACCTTCTTTGGAGCCGGCTGTCCCTTTTGAGTCAACTGTTTTTGTAACACACTGTATATCATAAAAATTTCCTAAAAGCTTTTGAATTCTTATTTCGAACTGCGCCTAGAAATCATCGGAGAGAAGCACTTTAAAAATTGCGTTTCAAAATCTTCGAAGGGAATAAACGTGGCTTAATTGTTTATTTACATTGACAAATACTGCTAGCAGAATCTAAGTGTTTGTTTAGGATATATCTCTGCGACATGCTCGGGCACATGCTTCTAGAAAATGAGTCCTGTGCACCGGAAGAGAGGATCGAATGTTACAGAGAGACAAAGTAAGGCTTAAATTTAGATCGTCTGGAGATCGAGATTTTGGTCCTTCAGTCGACCAACATTCGTCGTTAGAAGTGATAGTAGAATTAGAAGTTGTTGTGCTTTTATTTTTGAGAAATCCATTATGTTTGTCTTAATTATAATTATTATTTCCTTTACATATATATTTTCTAAGTCTATTGTTGTGCATATACCTGTTATATAAATATAGCCAAATTTATTAAGTGCAAGGAAAGGTTTACAAATACAAATACAAAGGAAAACAAGGTTTTAGGTCGGGAAGATCATGCACCGACGCTATAGTTATAATAAGGCAAGTGCAGGAGAAAGTCATAAGAATACAACAAACCGACATATCTATGTTTCGTGGACTTTAAAAAGGCACTTGACCGGGTCAAATTAAAAGACGTTATCCACTTACTGTATGCAAGAGAGATACCTCTAGGAATAATCAAAACGATCGAAAATATCTACCAAAACAACACAATAAAAGTAAAAGTAGAAGAAGAACTTACCGACCCCATTGAAGCTGGCAATGTGATAAAGCAGGAAGATTTCCTAAGTCCTCTATTGTTCAACCTGATTATGGAGGAAATAATAAAAAAAGTAAGAACTAAAATAGGATACCAAATGGTGGAAAAACATCTTAAAATAATCTGCTATGCAGACGACGCAATATTACTCCCTCAAAGTGAAGATGATTTACAACGTATACTGCATCAATTTAATATAACCGCCAGAAAATTAAACATGTTAATTTCACCAACAAAGACAAAATGCATGGTTCCAACAAGAAATTTACTAAGATGAAAATTGGAGCTGGAAGGTCAGATAATAAAACAAGTGATGGAGTTTAAATATCTAGGCATCACATTATCTAGCTACGGAAAGCTCGAAACCAAAGTGGAAGATCAAGTGAATAGAGCAAACAGAGCCGCAGGCTGCCTAAATTAAACAATATGGAGAAATAAAAATATCGGGAAAAAAACGAAAGGCAAAATTTACAAAACAGTCATCGGACTAATATTGACATACGCGGCAAAAAACCAGACACAAAGAGGACAAAAAGGATGTTAGAAACAGCAGAGATGAAAACACTTAGAAAAATTGATCGTAAGAAACTATGGGACAGAGCTAGAAGTAGAGATATACGACTTGATCGCATACGATGCACGGTGTAGAACATCAGAAACTGGATAAGAAATAGAAGAGTAGAATGGAACGATCATATAAGCCGAATAACAACAAATAGAGTAGGAAAGACGGCAAGAGACGGTTCCCCAATAGGAAGACGATCAGTAGAAAGACCACGCAAACGATGGAATGACAACTTACTGGAGGCACATTGAAGAAAAACAGACAGTCATGTCTATATAAAAAGAAGAAGAAGAAGAAGAGGAAGAAGAAGAAAAAGAAGAAGAAGAAGCAGAAATTGGAATCTATTATATGTTCAATTCGTACCTTGACGTTTTTATTGTTTTTGTTTGTGTTTTAGTGTTTAGATTCGATATTTCGGCGGTAGCAGGCTGAAACCCGTTAGATAATTTGGTATTAACAATTTAATTCTTTAAATGATTTTATTTCCTAAACTATTAGAGATGTTTAATTTTAAAATGAAAATTGTTTCTTTTGAAAAAATGAACAAAATGGCGTTTGATACAAAATTTTGATCCGATTCTTAGAACCGGAGTTATTACAAATTTCGTAAAAAGTAATTGCAAAATAGGCATTCGAAGGGGTTTTTCCAAAATACAACTCAGCTTTCATACGTGCGATTAACTTTCAAAGCTCTCCCAATTCAAAGGTAATTGTTTTAGCTTAAAAAAATTTGCTGGAGTTTTATTAATAAAAAACATGTACTTATATGTGTTGGGCGCATAAAGAATCTGTAAGCGATTTTTTCGTTTTTTCTTCATGTTCTTGTTTAAATTATTAACAACAAAAATTGCCAGTCCATAGTCACTCTTTAAATTATAATTAAATATAAACGTTTTATTTAAAAATCCTGTATAAAAGGTATGTAATTAAAAGGAAATATCATTTTAAAATCAACAGTGGACTTACAGGGTGATGCGGTATCTCCACTACTTTTTAACCTTGTATTAGAGAAAGCCATGAGGTCGGCCGAAATAAAAACATAATTGCTATCGGTTCAAGGTCCTAAGCTGTTACTTGCATATGCAGATGACATAGATCTCGTTGGAAACTCCATCCTATCCACGAAAGACATTTTCAACAAGGTGGAAGGATCAACAAGTGAAGTAGGGCTGAAGATTAATGAAGAGAAGGCGAAATATATGTGTATAAATAGAACGACACGAAGAGACAGAATACGACAAAATGTCACGGTCAACACCTTCAATTTCGAAAGAGTACAATGTTTTAAGTATTTGGGGGCCGTAATCACAGCTGACAACGATGTCACTGAAGAAATAAAATACAGAATCCAATTTGCAAACCGCTGTCTAGTTGCACTGAATAAGCTCATAAAATCAAAAAATCTCACAAGAAGTTCAAAGATCAAAATTTATAAATCCATCAGATCTGCAATAACATACAGATGCCAAACGTGGACCATGACCAAAGCAAACGAAGAAAAGCTCAGACGCTTTGAACGAAAAATACTTGGAAAAATTTTCGGACCTCACCATGACATCACCACAAACCAGTATAAGATCAGAACCAATATCGAATTAAAAACACTCTACAACGACGCCGATATTGTACAAGAAATTAAATCACAGCGACTAAGAGGTAGGTCACATGCACAGACTGCATAAAGAAAGACTTGTAAAACTGGTATGGGAGGAGATTCCCACAGACAAAAGACCACTCGGACGTCCCAGAATGTGATGGAGAAATAACATCCAAGCAGATCTCCGGAAAATGAACATTCCATTTGACCCTAGGTTGATGGAAGACCGAACAAATTGGAAAAAAAGTTGTACAGTCAGCCAAGACCCACCCAGGGTTGTAGCGCTACGTGATGATGATGATGATATAATTAAAAGGAATCTTTCGGGCTACATCACAGAACGTTTTCATACTGAAAATTCCGTCAGCAGTGTATTATTGCCAGATGTACGTGAGTCAAGCCACTAAATATCTACCCACTGAGGTAAAAAACCTTAAACTGGTACAAAATGTATGCGTTACATTTTTGTTAAAAATATAATGTGATAAAGTATTTAACAGATACTCTATATGGCAACGTAAGACTCCCAATAAAGGCTGTTGCTGACCCTCAGAAAATGTTTAAATGGGTTCTAGTAGCCATCTAATATAATAAACTAATTTAAAGTTTTTGTAATTTTCTAAAAAAATTATCTTTATTTAGGTGTGATGCATGCTGATGAAATAAATTATGTCTTTGGTGAGCCGTTGAATCCAACTAAAAGCTACACCGCTCAAGAAGTTGATCTCAGTAAACGTATTATGCGATATTGGGCCAATTTCGCTAAAACAGGTAATTATTTAGACTGAAAAATAGGTTTGTATAGCACATCATACATTGGCAAATTATGAAGGACAAGTAATATAAATAAGAACTATCAAAATGTAGTCAAACATATTTATTTATATCCATAAAACAATTCCTGTTCTGCACTCAACATCATCATCATCATCATCATTCAGCCCATACTCGTCCACTGCTGAACATAGGTCTCCCGTAGTTCACCTCACAAATTTCTGTCCTGAGCCGCCTGCATCCAATTTTGATGTGTCCGTTTCAGGTCATCCGTCCATCTTGTTGGTGGTCGTCCTCTATTCCTAAAGGCATCTTGTCTGGGTCTCCACTCAAGAATGCGTTTTGTCCATCTGCCGTCCTTCGTTCTCCGCGACGTGCCCTGCCCAGTTCCATTTTAAGGTTGATATTCTTTTGATTGCGTCGGTTACTCCCAATCTACGGCGCAATTCTGTGTTGGGTATTCGGTCTCTCAGGGTTAATCCCAACATGGACCGTTCCATTGCCCTCTGTGTTGTTCGAATTTTGTTTGCGGACGTCTTAGTAAGTGTTAGCGTCTCCGCACCATAGGTTAGAACCGGCAGCACACATTGATCGAAGACTTTTCTCTTCAATCAGATGGGAAGAGCTGATTGGAAAACATCTCTTAGCTTTCCATAAGCTGCCCATGTCAACCCTATTCTACGTATTAGTTTATTGGTCTGGTTATCTCTACTTAAGCGAATTTCGTGTCCCAGATATTTGTATGCTGATGTTTGTTCTATACTTGTTCCAGCTATGTTGATGTTCTCACTCAGAACAAAGTTTGTCATCACTTGTGTTTTTGAGTTATTGATCTTTAAACCCACTTGTGTAGAGGCATGGTAGAGTCTTTCGCACATTTCGATGGCATGATCTATGCGGTCTGTTATCAGGACTATATCGTCCGCAAACCTGAGGTGACTAAGCTGCTCTCCATTTATGTTTATTGCCCTTTTCGTCTAGGTTTGCACGCTTACACATGTATTTCAGTAATGTTGTAAACAGTTTTATTGAAATGGTGTCGCCCTGGCGAACTCCACGACGAATGTTGAACTTGTGTGTATCTTCATGGAGTCTGACGCATGCCGTGGCATAATCATAGATATTTTTGATGACAGTAGTGTAGCGGTGATCTATTCGGCACTCTTTTAAAGCTTCTAGCATTTTCTGGTGGTTTACTGTGTCGAATGCTTTCTCATAATCCACAAATATTAGGACGAGGGGTTTATTGTACTCTATACATTTTTCGATGAGGCTTTTAATAACTTGTAGATGGTCGTTTGTGCCGAAGCCTGACATGAATCCTGCCTGTTCGCATGATTGGTAAAAGTCCATTTTGTTCGAAAGTCTGTTTGTTATGACTTTTGTAAAAAGCTTGTATATGTGTGAGATGAGGCTGATTGGTCTATAGTTTACGAGATTTCTTAAATCTTCTTTCTTAATATTACACTTGTTACAAAATAGATCAGTTTGACCCTTCTTGCAATGTCTCCACCTTCTCATTGCATCATCTATTGGAAAATGATTCAGATGATCTAATCAAGTATCATCTTGGGGTCTACGCTTTACCGAGTTTTTTATTTCTTTGGGAAGTAGTGGTAGCTGTTCATTGCCGGGACGTCTTCTTTTTATTTTGTTAGCCTGCGGTAAACTTTTGGCAAGTTTAATTCGAAATTGTTTCAAAGGAATTATTGTTTTTTACCTTCTTGTAGAATGCTTGCATCACGTTTATATATTAGCCAGGCATGATTAATGTACATATCTATAATTTGAGAAAAAATGCACATATACTATATATGTGTTTTGAAGCGTATTATATATAGAGCAATCAACATGTCTGCCAAATCCACACTACCCATATGACTGTTATAGTGTTTTATTATCTGTGGGCATGTAATGTGGATTTTCCTTTTTTCTTTTTTTGAGAACCTTTGTATGGTTGCCATTGGAATTTGTATAAGGTTACGGATTTGTTATCGTACCACTTTACAACGACAATGCGACTATCATTGTCTATTCTTTGGTCAAAAGAACCTCTTTCATTTTTTTTAGTTTCTTATAAGATTCAAGTGGGCAACCCCGTAGTATGTCTTTCCTAACAGTTTCCAAAGAAAGTATTCCAAATTCACTTCGAAGATATGTAACAAGTTTTAAACTTGTAAAATAATTATCGAAATAAACCATTGATAAAGGTTTATTTTGTATTGTTGAACATAGTGCTAAAACACATTTTGCCCCAAATCCCAGTTTATTTTCCTCATCTGTAAAACGATGGTTTCTAAAGGTATCGTTTCCTTCATAGAGGAAAAAATCATACACTATCCCCGATGCCCCACAATGATCAAACATTTTGAAACCCAACTTTTTTGGTTTATTCTTCACATATTGTCTTTTCGAGCCTGCCTTTTCCCCTTGTACGGGACCATCATTTCATCCACTGAACATCTAGACTCTGATTCAATTGTGAGGCAGTTTTTTCGTACACGATCTAAAATAGGCCTTATTTTAAACTATCTCTCATTATTCAACTCCTCACTGTTGACAAAATGTAGGCTGCGTCGTATTGCTTGATACCTCTTTAGTGGCATTACATTTGCCAATAAGTTCATATCGCCAATAACCATTAGTCTCTTGAGACTAATAGTCCGTGTACGCCGGTATGTCAACAATCCCCATTAAAATTTCGATAGCTGAGAAATCATGCATCTCATCTGTACTTGTGTCTACAAATTTGTGAAATGTTTATGTCGAATACAGATTAATTTGTTCTACGATTAATTTAACGATATCTGGACTAAAAAGATTTTAAAATATTGCAAATGTGTTTTTATGTTTTGGGGTTTTTTAAAATCATTTGTTCTGTTGTTACCTCCAGTTAAATGAAGGCTCATCTTTTTTCTCCTTCCATTTTATTGAAGACCTTTTGTTGGACTACCTGAAAAAATTGTGGCCCTACTTAGGGAGTAGCTGTTGCTAATCTTCGTTTACTGAATGAAACAGATAATATTTCTACAGCTTCTTCTATATCTTCTTCAGAAGTTATATTTTCTTCATCTCTGTCTTCTGTGAATTCTTTCAAAAAACTACGAGATAATACCTCTTGTCCGGTGTGTACTATAAAATACGAAAAGTTTTGATTCAATTTGTTAAAAAAATTTTTACAGTACACTAAAAATTTGTTTATATGTAAATAGTCTCTTCTTCTTCTTCGTCTAGCCATTCACGTCCACATCTGAACATAAGCCTCTTCAAGTCTTCCTTTCCATTGTTTTTTATTGTACCCTACTTGTAGCCAATTTGTCCCGGCAGTCCTTTTCAGGTCATCTGTCCATCTCATAGGAGGTCTGCCTCTGGGTCTTTTGTGTTGGTATGGTCTCCAGGTTAAAATTGATCTGTGCCATTTGTTTAGATCGCTCCTAGCTACATGTCCAGCGTATTCCCATTTCAACTTTAATGATTTTTGCACCATATCGGTGACTTTGGTTTTCTGTCTTATGCATGTGTTTGTTTTCTTGTCCTTAAGTGATATACCTAGCATTGCTCTTTCCATCGTCTGTTGAGTGACTCATATTCTTTTTTGTGATTGTCCATGTTTGTGCCGCATAAGTTAATATCGGAATAATGCATGTATCAAAAACTTTAGATCTAAGATGTAATTGAATTTGTTGATTTCTGAGTAAATAGTTCAGTTTACCGAATGCTGCCCAAGCCAACTTTCTTCTTCTTTTTATGTAAATAGTATGATGCTTCAAAAATAAATTCCCAGAAAATTAGCACTCTATAATAAAAAACAATACCGTAATATAAATACTTACCATTTGTTGATTGGAACAACATGCTTGTTCAGTCATTTTGTCGAGATTGTCTCCATACTTCATACCGTCAGAATTAAATACCCAAAATTAAGAATTTTCAAGCCGATTCCCAATCGGCTACATACGGTAGTGTATACTCAACTATACACTGCCAAGAAATGGGTCTCAAATACTACTGATTGCCAAATAAAAAATTTGAAATATTATGTATATTATAACATACATTGCTAAGTTAAGGGTTAAACTGAATTTGTCAATATTATTAAATGTATTCTTTGTTGTCTATTAGGTAACCCCAGTTTAAGTCCGAACGGCGTCTGGACACCGACTTTCTGGCCATTGCACACAACATATGGAAGAGAGTATCTTACCTTAGACGTCAATTCAACTGCTACCGGTAGGGGGCCCAGACTCAAGCAGTGTGCCTTTTGGAAAAAGTACCTACCTCAGCTGCAGCAGATGACGGGTGAGTTAATAGAAAAAGCAGAGAGGTTTTCAGTGCAGAATGAATATTATATGGAGTTATATAAAACGAATAGCCGGAGAAACAATATCACTAACGTACCTGCGAGCTGTAGAATTGAAATAGTAACGGAAAATACAACGCAAACGACTACTATTGAGCCTCACGATCAAACTGTTGAAAATATAATTGAAATAGAAAATAATTTTAGTGAATCTGAAAACGTTACAGCCGTTGCAGCACCTATTACAACAACCAACTCAATTTATGTCGCTACAGAAAAACACTTTGAAAATAGTAGTGAGAGCAATTTAAAAAATTTAAGCAATATTGTAAACGAAAGTACAAACGAAAAACTACTAGAACGTAATTTAGATCTTACTAATGTAGGTTTTAATTCTAATAAAGACCATATAAAAAATAAGACTGTTGACTATACATAAATATATCAATTTTATTATGTTTATTTGTTGTTTCTACTAAAGCCAACTACTTTTTTCCATATCATTCTGTATTTTTAACAAAGAACTGTCTATTGATATGCAAAAAACCTTTACATGCTAAAAAACCGTTACAAAAATTAGATAGTCTTTCTTCAGTATTTATTTTGCTGTTCACATCTAAAATTCTAGTGAATTCAAAAAAATTTTAATTTTCAATAGTTTATTAAAAAGGCCAAAGCCGGATATAAATGTCAAAATTTCCCCAGCGAAAACTTGATCCCAAATTTTGGGTACTATTCAGCATTACAAAAAATGAAGATTCGCCAAATTTTAGCCCAAAATATTGACAGATAACCTCAAAATTCCACAAAACGTCAAAAATCGTTTTTTGGTCATAACTCTCTTAATTTTTTACCAAAAAATATTTTGTTTGTTTCTTAATTATGGATATTTTTGGGTCCTACAAAACTATTTTACCGAAAGTAAGAGTTGGCGGGAAATTTAAAATAATTTGAGCGTTTGAAAATTCTAAAACTTTATGAAAACATAATAAAAAATATAGATTGCTATTTTATAGTGGTACAAGCCAGTTGAAATTAAAAAAACTAGTTTTGTGAAATTTTTTCGCTGTAAGTTACATTTTTAATTAGAGATGCGCTATTATTTTAAAGGTTTTCTGGATAAATAGCTGACATCAATACCTTTAATTGGAAAATGAACGAATTCTTCTTCTTCTTTAATTAAGGAAAGTGGGGTAAAAATAAAAAAATATATTTCAGACTTTAAATGCCATTATAAAAGCAAAAACAAATGACAAAACCTTTTTATTTAGCCAATTATCAATTTTTGATTCATATTACTTAGCATAAGTGGTTCACAGGGCCAAATATAGGGTCTTGATGTCAGTTTTTGAAAAAAAATTGAGCCGAAAAATAATTTGCGAAAGATCCAGAAAACCGAAGATTCTAACCAGATTTTCGACGTAAATCATCATAACTCCTATTAAAATGGTTCACAGGCGGTGCAAATTAAAGGCATTGATGTGCAACATTGATAGGCAATTTTCATTTTTCATTCTTAGAAAAAAGGATCTCTGTTACTAAAATTATAACACAAAAATGGCGAAAAAACGGTAAAAACGCCAGAGAACCGACGCAATGCGACGCGCGACTGTTTTAATCAGATTTTTCGTCTTTTAAATCAACACAACTCTAGTTCTAAAAGTCCAAAATGGTTCACCATGAGTCCAAATTAAAGATATTGATGTCATCCATTTACTCAAAACTTCTTCTTACGGTGCCTATCCATTTCGGATGTACGCAATACTCAACTAATTTAAAAAAAATAGCAAAAAACCGGTTTTTTCAATTTTTAGCTGCCTTGTAGTACTTTCAAAATTCTGAAAAAATTCTATAACATAGTCTTTGTAATCATACGTCATATATATATATATATATATATATATATATATATATATATATATTTCAAAATATCCTTATTTGTTGTTACTTTACAATAGAAAGTATTTGTATTGTTCTGAACCTATTTTCTTGTGGCATTGTAAATTAATTACTATTTAACTGAGAATTAAATAAGAAGGTATTTGGCACACCTTGAAAACAACAATCACAACTATACAACAGAAAAACTACAAGACAACATCAGAAAAACAAAGAATACATGGATGACAGACGAAGTCCTAGAACTGATGAACATAAGGAGATCTTACAAAAATCGCAATGAAGAAAAATATAAAGAAACCCAGAGAATAATCCGAAACAAAATCAGAAAAGCCAAAGAAGAATGGATGAGCAGCAACTGTGAGGAACTGGGAGATTTACTAAAAAAGCATGATTACTTTCATGGATACAAAAAGATTAGAAAGAAAGTCACAAATATGAAGAAAAAAATCACTACAACAACTTTAGTAGATGATAACAACCAAATAATACCTAGTCTAGAAAATGTATTAGATGTATGGGAAAAATATATCAAAGATCTGTTTGATGACAAGAGAACAGAACCACAGATGAATATAGTACAAGAAACAATACTTAATATATTAACATCGGAGGTTACAAAAACAATCAATACGGCAAAGCTACGAACAGCCTCAGGTTCAGATAGAATATACGTAGATGATAAAGCTTATCGATTAAGAAAATCTTTAGACACTATTATTTAACAAAATATATACCACTGGAATCTTCCCAGAAGACTGGCTTAGATCGACATTTATACCTATACCCAAGAAAAATAAAGCAAATAGATGCTCACAGTTCAGATTAATTAGCCTGATGAGCCATTTTCTGAAAATTTTACTTAAAATTGTACATCAACAAATATACAGAGAATAAGAAAGAAACCTGAGCGACAATCAGACGAAGACGAAGACGACACATTAGACGAAGCACAAAGTGGACTAAGAAGAGTTTTAAATTTAAATTCAAAATTTATATAAATCTATTTTTATAATAAAGTATGTAATTACTATTTAAATGGAATAAGCCACAATTAAAGGTTAAATTATAATTTAATATGTTTTATAATTTATTAATTAATACACGTACTTTAACCATTAATTGTGGCTTATTCCGATTTAAATAGTAATTACTTTAAAATGTCACAATAAAATAGCTTCAGAACAATACTATTTTTATAATGTCCAATTTTTCACTTTAATAACTATGTAGAAAATAAATTATTACCGTTTTAAAAAGAAAAAAGCATGAATTATATATAATACACTGATAACGAAAAAAGTAGTTTGTCTGCACATATTTCTTTTTATTTCGATTTTTACATCTTTTTTTATTTTGTAAACAGTATTTCTGTTACTATTAGGTTTAAAAACAATGTTTTATTTATTTTAATTGTAATTGTTTAGTCATCATCACATCATTTATTTTGTAAATGCATGTTTCAGCTTATTGCACTTTATGATTTGTAAAGAATAATAAATTATTTAAGAAAATTAAATTGTTTTGATTTATTTCTATTTTGGTTTCTTTATATTGATTTATGTAGTAGATGTTTTACTAGCACATATATTTCAATTAAAATATTAAATACTAAAGGATCACAAAGTTTTTTTCATTTATATGTATATTAATTTTGATTGGATTTTAAAAAGGGACATATTGTTAGAATACCTTATTAATCAGCAATGAATTTGTCTTAATTCTAAGTTTCAGTTTATCATGACTTCTCTATAATGAAATAATAAAATTAAAGTTAAAAAGTGCTCTAATTTAATAGAAATTTTTAACATACAAGTCAAAATAAAACATAAAAATCTAACGACAAATTAATGGTTTAATAATTTTTGTTTCCTCCAGCAGCTATAATTACATCTTGACACCGCCTTGGCATGCTTAAAATTAAATTATTAATTTTGTTTTGAGGCAATAGGACATTGTGCAGTTAAGGAGCAATACCTCTCCTCGAGGCTCGAGCCATGCTCGCTGAGATTAAGATCTTACGATTGTGCTAGACACGGTCAAAGTGTAATATTCGCATTATGAAACCAATCTCGTACTATTGCTGCAGTATGTGGCCTTGCATTATCCTGCATGTAACGTAAATCAGGACGACTTGTAGACCACTATATGCACGTATATCCTGTACATTCCTGAGTCTTTCTTGTCGACCAGGTCCTCTCCAAACTTTCACTCTTTTTTGATTAGGGTAGAGACAAAACCTTTTTTCATCTGTGAGTAACAGAGAACTTTATTTTATGTTAGTCCCAATACAAAATGTTGTATCCACCTTAATCTGAATCCACGATTTCCATGACGTAATATGAGAACCCCTTAATGGACGTCTATAAATATATATATATATATATATATATATATATATATATATATATATATATATTTCGACGAAGATAATCCTTACACATACCGATCCTGTCGAGGTTGATGCCTGATATATCTCTCAGCGGCATTACCAAATTGTTTATGTCGACGCAACAATCGCGAAATCACGCTATTTTCTGCGCGTACAGTTTTCTTGTGTAAAAGTGGTTTCAGTTAAATTGGCTGATACATTGCACATAGCTATTAAAGATTTGGTCTTGCTGATCAAAAATTATTATTACGTCAAGACTCAGAAATTAATTCCTTCTGAGTTACAGATGTTCAAAGTCTCGGTTTTCTGTCTATTTTTCAAAATATCGAATTTGGAAACATACCGTCTCACACTTTCAGTATACAACACCAGAATCTCAATAAACACGAATATGATATCCTGGATAGTATATCCACGTGGATATCTTGGTATGGACGTCTCCAAATTTATTATCCTGAAAAAATTTACTAAAAACCAGCATTTTAAAGCTCTAAAACTCAAAAACAATTAATTTCTGAGTCTTCACGCAATAAGAACTTTTCATCAGTATGACAGAAGCCACTTCTCTGCAAAATTTCAGTGAATTTAACTAAAACCACTTTTACATCAGTAAATAAGAAATATACCAGAAATATAGCACGACTTCCGACAACCAATGAGGCTTAGAGTTGCATATTGTGTCACGTTTCAGGCAGGACATTTTGAACATTTTTTAGCTTTGCGCCTAGTTAAAATTTTATTGGTACTTTCTGTTCTTGTTCTGGTTTAATTTTGTTATGTACCAGGGGAGGCCAACTCGTCGATCACGATCGACCAGTTGATCGCTTGCAAGGAAAAAGTTATCGGTATAATATACCTACCTATTCCGTCCTAAATATTACAAAATTTATAATAGTGCTAGCAATATTGATCGATCATACTGGGAGACTCACATTATTTTTTTTTTCCAATCTAATATAATTGGAAAAATAAATAAATAAGAATTAATCCTTTTGTTTTACTTATATATTATTAATACACACTCGCGAGCAGTAAAGCTAATTAATCCAGAATATTAGCACTCTAAGCCGAATCGGTTTCAGATTAAAAATTCATTCAGATCTCGAAAGCCGATAAAGCTGATATTTTCAGAATCAAATAGAATAGAATAAACGTTTCGACCACAAATAAAAACACAAATATACATTCAATAGCATTGTGGACAAAGATCTATGATATATGCTATGTTCTAACCAACAGAGATATATATCCATCGAAAATAATCGACGTAAGATGCCTCAACTAAGCAGATGTAGGTAGCGACCATAGCCTAGTATTATGTAAAATAAGAATTATGAAGAACAGTACACAGATCAGCGGGAAAAATCACTTGGAATACACAGTTTGAAGAGCAAAGAAATAAAAAACAGGAAGCGTACAAAAGATGGCTGAAGACTAAGAATCTTGAAGATACAGAAATATACAAAGAACAGCAAAGAATATTTAAAGATATGACAAGGAACAACAAAAATGAAACATGGGATGCAAAATGTAAAGAAGTTGACTGTTACATCGGAGGAGCGCGATCATGAGCGGCATGGAAATTAATAAAAACCCTGAAAACCGACACATCAAATAAAAGTCGAATACAGCCCATCCAGATAGATGCATGGAAAGATCATTTCGCAAGGAACTGAATGAAGACAAAGATATTTATAATATTGACTCACCTCAACGAATACGAGTACAAGGTGCA